AAGTTCCATGTCCTGGGTCAGGTCCTCCTCATCCCTCTGCCAGGTCAGGGTGATGTCTGCAGGGTAGAAGCCCAGGGCCCAGCACCTCAGGGTAGCGCCTCCTTCAGGTCTGGGGTGATGAGTCACATTTGTTTTTGGAGGATCTGGGAAGAATCAGAGAAGAACAAATTTCTGTTCCTTCCTGAGGACAACTTGAGCACTGATCATGTGATCATCCCCAGAGTTGGGCTGGGGATCTAGAGAGCAGCACTTAAGCTGTGTGGGCTCAGGAAAAAAAAAACTCTCTATTCCTTGGAAAGTTCTAGAATAAAGGGCTGAACCTGTACCCCTCCAAGTAGAGTAAAACCTAGTGACTGAGTAGCTATAGCTGACCTGTGAACGCTCAGAATCAGGGGCTGAGATCAAAAGGGAACTGCCACTCACCCTTTTCAGAGTTGGTTCCTCTCCATCCCTGAATAGATGGGATCTCTATTATGGTTTGAATATAAAATATTCCCGCCTGGCTCAGGTATATGAAGCCTTGGTTTGTATCTGGTGATACTGATTTTTCCAGTGGAATATTTATAATGTAGGATCTAACTGGAGGGAGTAGGTCACTGGGAGGTGGGCCTTGAGGGTTATTGTCTCTCTCTGGCTATTCTCTGCTCCTGGATGTTCCTAGATGTTAGCAAGGTTTCTAGGCTGTGGTCCTGAATGGCGATGAACTATTAGTCAAAGGTTGGAGAAGCACAATACTTCAGTTCTTCCTCCCTGAAGTTGTTTCTTCTCAGGAATGAATGAAAGAAGAGTGGATTCTGTGGGATGAGGAAATCAGGGAGGCTTCCTCTGCTCCAAATCAATGACAAAAGATGTAGTTAGTGACTTTCTAGAGTAGGAAGAGCAAGTGTCTGTTCATCTTAGATATGGTACCAATGACAAATGTCTTGGTACTGTTCTAGGGCTGTGACAACACACCACAACCAAGGCAAATGATAAAGGAAAGGAACAGCTAATTTGGATGGCCTGGGCTTTTGAAACCTCAAAACTCACTCCCAGTGACACACCTCCTAATCTGTCCTACACAGTCTGCACTTAAAACCAGACATTAAAATTGTGTGTGTGTGTGTGTGTGTGCGCGTGTGTGCCTGTGTAAACCTGTCCATGTGCAGCACATATCTGAAGGGAGAAGACAGCTTGTGGGAGTCAGTCTCTTGCTGTCCTAATGATCCTTTCATCCTGTCTCAGATTGTTCAGCCTTTGTCTCAAAGAGGGGCGAGTATTATTTCTCTACTTCCATAACTCAGATCCTATCTACAGCTTTGTCTCACAGTCCCAGGAACCCTGTGTAGGGGCTCCTTAAATTTTAAAAGTACTTTTTTTTTTGTCTGTTTCAAGAGATCCAGAGGCAAATATTCCCATTTATCAAGGTTTCCCATACTGAATCACTGCTAAGGTCCTGTATGTATGCTGAATCATAGTCTTTTCCCTGAGTTAAAGTTTGGCCTGAGGTGTTTTCCATTACTTTTATTTCACTTTCTCTCTCTTTCCTGTCTTATTCTTACCATCATTCCCAGGTTTTGGGATTGCAGAAGCACAGATCTAATTCCTGCTCTTTCCTTTATGCCTCCTTCACATTCCCCAGGTGTAAGAAATGGTGAGCCAGTTTCTCACAAAGGCAGCATTTGCATGGCTTTTTCTCATTGTCCTTCCTCCCTTAGGCTGGCAAGTCCTTTCTGGGAAGGTGACTCAGCCTCAGTTGCAAGTCTCTCTGCCCACAGCAAAGGCCACACAGCTGCTGCCACTGTCTGCTGAGGATCCTGCCCAGTGCCCCACAGGTGTTATTCCTGGAATTGCTGTTGTTGGTGCTCATGTGATAGACCTCATGCCATGTAGAGGAAGACAACTACCCTGGCGTTCTCAGCACTGCGTCTCAGAGGCAAGTGTTATCATCCATTCCAAGGGCAGTGCAGCTCTCAGATGCCATTCCACTCCACAGGGAGAAAGCAGGCCACACCAGCACTTTTTCTGCATATATGGTTTAGCTTCATTTGCATGTTTTATATCCCATAGCAGGAACCATGAAACCGATCGTCCCAAACTCATCTTTGGTCCTGCTGAGTTCCCACTCAAGTGTCAAGTACCCTTGATAAGACTCCAGCCCCCGACCAAAGGGGAGTCCATCCAAGTCTATCTTTATTATCTAACACTAGTTTGGCAATCTCATAAAGTTATTGGCAGTTACTTACAGGCACAGGAGTAAGGAGTTACCTAATACTCAAAAACACCTTCATCACAGAAAAGTCCACTCCAGCATGAATGACCGCTCACAAAACCTGCCTCACTGAGCCTGCCACCACTTTATTCCATTAATTTACATCCCTACTCCCCTTCCTGACTGTTCTGGCTGGCCTTGAACTCATTCCCCAGCCCCTGCCTTTCAAATGTTGGGATTAAAACCATTATCCTCCACACTCATCCTAATTGCCCTCTAACTTCTGTATACACAAGTAAGTCAGTACCAGGTGCAGCTGGTAGGATTCCTAGTAATTAGGGAACATAGGAGGGTGTGAATGGCTAGAATCCCCAGTGAGGATAATCACAGCTACAGTGATTTTGACCATTAACAGATTAAGAACCTGTGTCACAGTGGGAAACAGTACTTCACAATCTGTGGCTTAGGAAATGGTTTTCTTTCCCACCTATAAACTCTGCTCAAGAGCAGACAGAAACTACCCTACACCTCTTACCTGCACGCTGCAGAATCTTCTTTCCTTTATCCAGGTATTTGAGAAGCCACACCACGCACTTGCCCTCCAAGAAAGATCGCCAGGACTTTGCAACACCAGCTGCCTCCCACTTGCGCCTGGTGATCTGAGCCTCTTTAGTATCCACCGCGGTCCAGGAGTGCAGGTCCTCAGTCAGAGAGATGTAATCCTGGCCGTCATAACCGACATGCTTATACCCACGGAGGAGGTGGTGGTCAGGCCCTATGTCACAGCCGAATAGCCACTGGACAGTGTGAGACTCTGTGGCAGCCAGGGAGGTCAGCAAGGTGTTTTAGGTTAGCCCCCTCAATACACAAAGCCTGTGCGCGATTAGTCAAAGTTTATTTCAAACTGAAATGAAATTCCAGTAAATTTCCGCAAGCTTCTGCAGGATGGTTTAACTTGCAGATTTCACTAACCCAAGGTATGTTTCCAATGCCCTAGGAATATGAGGACACTGTAGAGTAGCCTTCCGAGTCTAGGGTCACTCACCATTCTCTCTCTGGCTATGGTAGCCAAACAGGGTCCACAGTTCTATTCGGCCAAGTATTAAGATGTCTCTGCCAAGTCGAGTCAACTCGTCCAAATGCTCAGGATCCCGCGCTATAAATGGCACCCGCGGCTCCACCCGCTGACTGGCCTTGTCGCTGTCGAAGTTTGCGATCTGAGTGTTGTCCACGTAGCCGGCGACCATGAACCGAGGTTTGCGATGGGCAGGATCGTACAAGGTAGTTGTGAAATATCGCAGGGAGTGTGAGAGTAGGCGTGATGCGCTGTGACCTTGCCCTTTGCCAGACCGGGGAACTGGTTCACCCGCTGGGAGCGGTGCAGGGTGATGGGAGCCTGGCAGAGGCTGCCCATCTCTGGGAGAGGGGAGGTCTGGTTGGGCGAGGGTGGGGACATGGTTTTCTGGGTGCAGACTCTGCCTGGTGCCCTCACTCCTCCCCACAGAGAAGGTTTCTCTCTCCACCCCATACTCACCCGCGCGGGCCTGAGTTGGGGGCAGCGAAGCCATCAGCAACAGAAGGACGCATGGCACCCTGAACCCCATCCTCGATGTTTGGAGAACTTGAAGAGAATGGGTCTTTCTTCCTCTCTGTGGAGTTTTATAGCGTTGTGGGTGTGTGGGGACTGATGATTCTGAGCGGTTCTCTGAAATTCCCACATACAACAGAAATGAACATGTGGGTGTCCAAACATTACTGGGAAGTAAAGGGTTCCCGTTTATGAATTCTTTTTTATTAAAAAAAAAAATAAGGCTAACAACAAAAACAAGAACAAAACCAGACTCAGAAAAATGTTCTGGTACCATTTCATTAGTTTTGGCAGGGGTTGGTGGTAGGATGAGAACTGCTCTTGCAAGCATTAATTTTAGCACCTGCTGTCTGGAGTAATAAATAGAGGAGAGGGCTGGAGAGATGGCTCAGTGGTTAAGAGCATTGCCTGCTCTTCCAAAGGTCCTGAGTTCAATTCCCAGCAACCACATGGTGGCTCACAACCATCTGTAAAGAGGTCTGGCGCCCTCTTCTGGTCTTCGGGCATGCACACAGAATATTGTATACATAATAAATAAATAAATAAATATTAAAAAAAATAAAGAGAGGAGAGTAATGCCTTTGAGTTAGGGTCATTAATGGAGGACTGTGAACAGCTGTAGAAAGTGTGGAGGAAAAATACAGCATGCAGTTAAAACACCAATACATATAACATAAAAAACAAATAGTTTTCTTTTTTTAAAGACATCAGTATTGTGGACTGATTGGATTGTCATTGGCACCGAAGGTAAAATTATCTTGGGCTACCCTAGCCCCTTAAATATCCATTATTACTCCTCTCTCTGTGTGACCTGACATCCTTGTGACTATTAGGTAAACCCCTTTGGAATGTACAAACAGACCCCTAACTTCCACCAGCTCATGTCATCTCAGAGAGCATCTCAGGTCTAACAGATTTCCCTGCATGGATACAACCTGCCTGCCTGATGTTTCCACCATTGTATTTCTAAGATCTGTTGTTTGTGCCTTGTTGTTGCTGTTCTGTTACTATGAAAACAGTAAAACTGTTACCATTTTAGGACATGGAATTTATAGGAACTGAAATCTGTGTTCCAGGCTGTTGTCACTTACATTTGACTCCAGAATAAATTCTCTTTAAGTTGTGATCTCTGTCTTTATTTTTTTATATTTACCGTGTATCAGGAGTATTCTGTTTACATAAGAAACATAGATGGCCATGCTTGTATCTTTCCACTGTAGTGGGAATCTAGTAGAGTCATTGTATCTAGGGTAAACAATACAATGTAATAGTTGTTTCTCACTGTTTCTAGGGTATCAGTAGAATGTATTAGTGTTGATGAATGTATCTAGAACTTGAAAAATCATAGTACAGTGATTGTTTTCTATGATTTATGAATTTTTTTCTGAGGAAATTTTCAGTCCCTTGCATGACTCTGGTCACAAGACTATCTGGGCACACTGCAGGTCTTGAATTATTTGGTACTGCAAACAGTACACAATAAAGATTAAAGTTGTGGGGGTGTGATTATTTTCTTCAGAGAATATATAGATCAAAGGGGCTTTGGTATGAGGACCTTGTTGTGCTCCAAACACAGCCTTTGTGTGCAATCAATAAATATGCTTCTGAGCAGAGGTTTGAGGTTCAGTTCTCAGAAGCTGTTCCCCTGATACCAGAGAGCCTAAAATTACATTCTGGGTGACTCTTGTTCTTTGAACAGCACACAAAACACAGAACATCCAACATTCTACAATGTCACAATTAAGTAACAATAAATTCACTAAGTGTGATGGTATTCATTTTAGGAATTTAGTAGGTAATACTGCTTTCCATGGTAATCTAATTGAAGCAACACACATGCTCCTTTATTCCATTCTCTTTTTTTTCCTTAAAGATTTATTTATTTATTGTGTGTACAGTATTCTGCCTGCATGCATGCCTGCAGACCAGAAGCGGGAACCAGATTTCATTACAGGTGGTTGTGAGTCACCATGTGGTTGCTGGGAATCGAACTCAGGACCTCTAGAAGAGCATGCAGTGCTCTTAACCACTGAGCCATCTCTCCAGCCCTTTTACTCCAATCTTAATTACTAATATTAACTGAAATGTGACACAACACACAGTAAATATATGCATATATGAGAGTTATAGAATAGATAGATACAAAGGTTAAGGAGGCAGCAGTAGCATTCCATATTTCAGAAGTGGGCTTATAGAAGTGTAAATAGGGGGCTAGAGAGATGGCTCAGCTTAAGAGCATTCATTGCTTTTGTAGAGGACCTGGGTTTGATTCTCAGCACTCACATGGTGGCTTACAAGCATCTGTAACTCCAGTTTCAGGGTATCTGATGCCCTCTTCTGGCCTCTGCAGGCACCAGGGATATACCTGGTGCATGGCCATACATGCAAGCAAAAATTCATACACAGAAAATAAAATTAACCCTTAAAGAAATGTAGAGTCTTTTTAATATGGTAGGGAACCCAAACTATGCACAGAAGGAGCTGCTGCTCTAGAGTCAGACACTGAGCAGAGGACTGAAAAATGACTCTAGCTGCAGAGGTAAAAGGTGGGATCAGATCTAGGGAAAGGAATGGACAGATGGATGGACAGAGATGCAGACGATGAAAGGAAGATGAGTAAATTATAGTAAAACAGTCCACATCCGCATAGTCGAGCTGAAGTCCCCGGGACAGTGTGGAGTTCTCCGTCAGTCACTGGTCCACACACTGTGTCAAATGACAGATTGGTGTGGGGTCCATGACATTACAGTGCTGGGTGTTCACGTCTTTCTGGGATTTTGATAAAGATTGACTGATGATGTCTCATAAGTTCTTGGGCCTGGCTCCTCTTATATGATTCTAATATACAGACATGCTCCCACAGTCTCAATTCATCCCAATACACTTGTAGAAGATTGTATTCCCCACACTTGCAACACCAGCTCTCAGAGGGAGGCAGGATGATTTCTGGGAGGAGAAGGTCAACCCAAACTGTTCTATCACTCACTATTATCTTTCATATAAACCAAACAACAACAAACCTGAAAGAAGAAAGAAGCATCTTAAAGCAAGAAGGATTTATTTTGGTTTTGATTTAAGAAAGCTCAATCCATCCTGGGAGGAAAGGCCTGGTTGGATTCATGGCAGCTGGAGCTGTGGCTGGGATGACTCACATCTCCATGCATCAGGAAGCAGAGTGAGGGGACGCTGGCTCTTATCTGGCTTTCTCCTTTTCCTCCCTGTTCTTCAGTCTGGGCCCCAGATCATGAGCTGCTGTCACCCACGTTCAGTGCAGCTCTCCACTCCTCAAATAATCTTCTCTGGAAACACCCTTCACAGACAAATCCAGAATTGCAAGTCCTGGGAGATTCAAACTCCAGTCCAGCTGACTCTGATGATTAGCCGTAACAGCTACAAGGTGAGTTCCAAGACAGCCTGGGGTACAGTGTGAGATCCTGCCAAAATAAAGATAAGGGGAGGGATAGAAGATGGTTCAGTAATTAAGAACATTTGTTGATCTTGCAGAGAACCAACGTTCAGTTCCCAGCATCTTCATGGTGGTTCACAACAGCTTGTAACTCCAGTTCCAGAGAATCTAATGTCTTTCTGGCCTCCCCAGGCTGATGCACACATAATACACATAAACACAAGAGGCAAACTTACATATACAAAATAAAATAAGTCAAAAAATCTTTATAAAGACTAATTGGCTGGAGAAATGGCTTAGTGGATGAGCTAAGATGGCTTACTGGCTGCTATGGCAGAAGACCTGGGTTCAGTTCCTAGTGCATATACCATGGCTCACGATCATCTCTAACTCCATTCCTAGGGATCCAACACGTTTTTCTGACTTCTGAAGTCCCCTTTTTGCAGGTAATATGCATGCATACATGTACACACACATAAACAGTGAAAACATTTTTAAAGCCTTTTTCAAGGCAAGGAAGAAAGACTATCTGGGCTCCTCTACTCAACTACCTAAGACAGGTCTTGGAAGAAGACTGAGTATTTTAGAAAAATATTTGTGGTCACTGATGTCCATAATCATTCACAATGAAAAGCAACCTCAAATGGGAATATAATATTTCCCCCTGAGAATGTAAAAACAGGAATGTATCTGCCCTGAGTTGTCATGTCAGCAGATACCTATTGCTTTCTCTCCCATTGGGTTTAGTTACAGGTGGAAGACTTGGGAAGCATTTCACATAATGGAAGCTTCTAGCTATTTGCTATCTGAAAGTCTCCTCATTGATTTCTTTTACTTTTAGGTAAAGATACTAGAATTCAAATTCTTGTCAATTATTAAACATAAAGGAATTATGTATATGATATTGGACCATTAAAGGTCATTTTATTATGGAACCAAATTTGAGTATTTACAGCTAGGAGGAGAACACACAGGCACACCAATGTCAGGTGCCACACAGGATACACTGTTCCTGCTGCAGGACATAGGTGCTGGTCACTGTGGTTGGGACCCTTTCCCTGCAGCTCCTGGAAACGCTGTGGCAATGTTAGCCCCACTACAAGCATTCTCTGTGGTTTCAGCTTTTCCTTAACACTGTGTGCTGAGTCAACGTCCAGCATGTCGTCGTTTGACCGGTGGAACCAAGGACTCATGATGTACTCAGCTGCAGGAAGGCTTTTGGGCAGCTGATGGTGACATGGTCTTTGCTTCCTTTCTAGACTCTCAGGGGGTATTCTCTGAAGTATACAGAGAGTTCAAGAGCTGAGATAGAGACAAAACGGGAAAAGTCTCAGACTAGACTTTTCAATCTGTAGGAGGAAAAATATGGGGAAAGATGCAGGATGGGAAATCCTAGAATTCCTGAGTTCAGAACCTTGGGAATGTTTTTAGAATGATTATATGAAGATCTAGAGCCAAAATAGGAAATAGGAGGGAGATATGCAAGAAAACCCAAGCCCTAGCCTGGAGATGGGTCCCAGCCACAATGGCATGTCCAGTCACATCAGTGTGTGAAAGAAAGCACAGGTCCAAACTAATAATCACACAGGTATGTATACATCTTATAATAACGTTAAGACAAAAGCCCTCGGATAAGACACATTCCCTACTTCTGCTCTTCCTCATCACAATGGCAGCTGCAGCTCCAGCGAACACAACTCCAAGGAGAATCAGCCCAGCAGTGATTCCCAGGATGGGGATGGTGGGTTTAGGAGGTTCTGAGAAGGGAAGGGAAAGAAAGAAAAGGTGTAGGCGCTGGCCCCCTGCTCTTAGTCATGAGCCCCCCCCCCCAGGGTCTCCAGAAGGGTTCCCACTTTCTCCACTGGCCATCTCTGTGTCCACACCGCTCCTTACCCCATTTCAGAACAAGGGGCTGGGTTAGTGCTTCATGCAGCACATGGCATGTGTATCTCTGCTCCTCTCCTGAAGGCACCACCACAGCTGCCCACTTCTGGAAGGTCCCATCCCCTGCAGGTCTGGTCTCTACAAGATCCATGTCCTGGGTCAGGTCCACTTCATCCAGCTGCCAGATCAGGGTGATGTCTGAAGGGTAGAAGCCCAGGGCCCAACACCTTAGGACGCTGCCTCCTTCAGGTCTGGGGTGATGGGTCACATGTGCCTTTGGAGGATCTGAGGGAAAGAGTTGGACAATTCAGGTATCTAAGATTCTTTCCTGAACTGCACAGTACTTATGTGACCATTCTGGGAACGGAGTGAACTTAGGTAGGTGGAGGAATTTTACAGTAGTCTAGACTTAGGCATCTGGGATAACCTACTCCTTGGAAAGCTCTAGAATCAGGATGATCCAGACAATAAGAATTCAGGACCCTCAAAGGAGAAAAGGAACTTCTGGTTCTGATTGTGTGAGGGCTGAGAGACTCAGCATCACTGGAGCCAGACTCCAAAGACTTTGGGTATGGACAGAGAGCCCAAGAGAGGCTCTCAAAGGGCTGCAGACTAGGAGCTGCTGTTGGTTATTTCAGGGATCTTCTCTCCTTCCTTCCTCAGACTGACTCGCGACAGTCCTGAGAGAAGGTGTACTCCTCGGGAGAGTCTGTCTCTGTCTGGCGTTAGATCAGGTAACCCAGGAACACTCTTCCCTCTCCAGATGCAAAGAAGAGAAACAATATCCAAACCCAGTCCATTTTCCTCCCTTCTGAGTAGACGTGAGCCCCAGTCAGAGAACAGATGTAGGAGATTCCTCACGGCCCCTGTACCTGCTCCTAGCAGAGTCTCTTTGCCAATCTCCAGGTACGTGTGGAGCGACTCCACACACTCCCCCTTCAGGTAGGTTCGCCTTTGCTCCGCCACACCAGCTTCCTCCCACTTGCGCTGCGAGATCTGAACCGCGGAGTCACCTGCGATCCAGGAGTCCAGGTCCTGGTTTAGGGCGAGGTAATCTCGGCCGTCGTAGGCGTGCTGCTCAAACCCGTGGAGGAAGAGTCCCTCTGGCCCCACCTCGCAGCCGGACACACACTGAAAGACATGAGAGCCTGGCCCCGCCCCCGGTCTTATTTGAACCAAAAACGGTACTGAAAAACCCGTCAAGGAACCCTTTGAGGTCCAGGGTTTCCGCGAACCCCGCAGCCTCTATCTAGTCAAACCTCACACCTGAGGACCCGGGAATTCGGTGTCGTCCATGAGGATGAGGGATTGTGACCTGGGTCCCAGCCCTGGAATCTCTCACCATCCTCGCTATGGTTGTAGACGCCCATAGCCTCCCGCAGGTTCACTCGGGAATTTTTTTCAATTTCCTTGACGGTCCGGGTCTGCTGCTCCCAGTACTCTGGCCCCATCTGCTTCACCCACAGCGCGCGGGGCTCCATTCTCTGACTTTCCTCCTGGTTGTTGTAGCATAGGAACTGTGTGTCGTCCACGAAGCCGACAAAGATGAAGGAAGGCTCTCCCAAACCAGGCTGGGACACGGCGGTGGCAAAAAACTGCAAGGAATGAAAACCTGGCGGCGGAAGGCGGTGAGATCCTGATCCTTCTCCAGGGACCTGTGCAGGTGATCTGTCTGGGAGGGGGGCAGGGGGCCCGGGCTCAGGATGCAGGCAAGAGAAAAGAGCGAAGGAAGCGGGAGGGTCTGGCAGGGCGATCTGGAGAAGCGGCCCCCAGCGTACTGTCCCCGCCCGAAGCCCTTGCTCTTCCTGCCAGTGGCAGTTTCTGACCTGCACTAACCTGCGCGGACCTGGATCAAGGCCCAAGCTCCGAGGAGCAGGAGGGCAGAAAGCGCGGAACTTCCCATCCTCGGTGTTTGGAAGGCGTACAGTGATTGAGACTTTGTTCCTCTCTGTGGACGGTTTAGTATTGTGGGCTATGAGGAAAGACCGCGGTGACTGAACGGCTTTCTCCAGAATTCAGACATGCAGAGAGACCAAGACAGTTGACAAAAGTGGTGAGCTGGGGAATTGAACTCAAAGGAATCCCTAACCCCTGGCTTTTTATCACCCCAGATACCTCCTTTGCAGACCAGACCTGGGAGTGAATCCTGAGACCAGGGAATTTTACACCCTCTTCCCCCTGCACCTAGTGCCGGGAGTTGTGTCTGAAGTTCTCTGTATCTCTAAGTGTATCTCTAAGTGTATCTCTAAGTGTATCTCTAAGTGTATCTCTAAGTGTATCTCTAAGTGTATCTCTAAGTGTATCTCTAAGTGTATCTCTCAGATGTTGCGTGTTACATCTGCTCACATTCATCATATTAAAAACCAAAAACATTAGGGGCTGGAGAAATGCACAAGACGTGGTTTCCAACATCCATATCGGGAGATTTTGTTTTGTGGCAATATAAATGAAGGTTCCTAAAAATTTGTCAGTCTACAAACGAGGAGTAGAGACACAACCACCTGTAAGCAACTCCACAGTTTCTGGGTCTAACTCCCTTTCCTGGCCTCCTCTGACTCCTTCTAACAAGCAGGCACACACATATACACATGAAATAAAAATAAATAAGTCATAAATAAGTCTTTTTTTTTTCTTGTTTTTCGAGACAGGGTTTCTCTGTGGCTTTGGAGCCTGTCCTGGAACTAGCTCTTGTAGACCAGGCTGGCCTTGAACTCAGAGATCCACCTGTCTCTGCCTCCCAAGTGCTGGGATAAAAGGTATGCACCACCATAGCAGGGCCGGGCAATAAGCCTTTTTTAATTGAAAGATAGGTCAGGTATGGTGGTGTTGGCCTGTAATCACAGCACTCAGGCCTTCATACATTTGAAGCCTGCATAGACGGCATGAGACCCTATCTCCACACAAACAAACAAAAAACACAAAACAGGACATTTAAAAAGTGAAATTTCCCCTTTTATACTGTGAGCAATTGGTGTTAGATAATACCACTATTAATAATTCCAATTGCAATTGAGTTCTTCAGCCAGGTGTCACATTAATGTGCCAGCAAATTAACTCACTGTCAGGAGTGTTACAGTAAATATGGCAAGTGATTTATAAAAGCACAACAATATTCATGGATGCCGTGAGAGTGTCTAGGTGACTGAGGGTCCCACAGAACACGCTTGGATAACTGCTGGTCTGTGTCGAGCCTCTTCAGATAACTCAATTGTTTCTTTGTGGTGATGTCTAACAGAAAGCAATTTCAGAGGAAAGAGAATACTTGGCTATGCTCTAGCTTCCCAACAAGTCCCCCTCCTGCTTTAAAAGCGCTGTGTCCATCATGAGCATCAGGGCAGGTGAGGAACCTAGTATAAGAGGCTGGCAGACTAGGGTGGCAGACTGTCAGTGCACATGGGCCTTGGGCGTGCCTGCTATCAGAGAGTCCAATCAGCACGACAAAAGTGCCACAGTACAAACCTGTGAGGCAAAGGGTTGTCCCATAATGCCTTTAGCAACCCCATTCTGTGGCAGAACAGTTCAAAGGTTTCTCAAAATCAGGTAACCTAGAAATAACAGGCAGGGACAGTATTAAGTGGAGGATTTCAGAGGAGGCTAAGGCAGAGAGAATGGGCTTTAGGATGAGAGGAGGGCACAGAGTGAGAGAGGTAATACCCCGGAGTCCAGTGGGGTGATAGCCAGTTGCTCCCTAAATGTACCTAACTGCTTCTTTGGAGGACTAGTTTGGAAAAAAAGGAAAAGCATTTTGAGTTGACGTTGGAATCTCCTGAGGTAGCTCATGCCCTAAGCTAAAACAGGTTTTGAAGACATTGACATTTAGATCTGGAGGCTTTACATCCACATTCAGCAGGAGCTTTCTGGATAATGTCTATAAAGACACCCAAAAATAAATAAATAAAAATTAAAGCCAGGTGGTGGTAATCCCAACATTTGAATTGCAGAGGTAGGCAGATCTCTGAGTTCAAGGCCAATCTGGCTCCAAAGCTACTGCTAAACCCTGTCTTGAAAAAGCAAACAAACAAAAAGCAAAAGATAGATAGAATGAGAGAGAGAGAGAGAGAGAGAGAGAGAGAGAGAGAGAGAGAGAGAGGAGCAGCATATTGTATAAGACTGGAGCCTTGGGTAAAGGCAATGGAATCTTAAACTTCTTTAGGTATTGAATATCCTGAGGGAAATTCACACACCTTTCACGCACCTAAAGTAGCAGATTCCAGATTAACTTTTTCCCTCTAAATGCAAATGCAGAGAAAAATAGGAAGTCTGGGTGTGAGGGAATCACTGTAAACTAGGGCCCAGTGGGGGAATACAAAGAATCATAGCACTTAGGGTTTGCTTAGCTGTTTGTTTTTTGTTGTTGTTGTTGTCGTCTTATTTGTTTGTTTTTTTGAGACAGGGTTTCTCTGTGGTTTTGGAGCCTGTCCTGGAACTAGCTCTTGTAGTAGACCAGGCTGGCCTCGAACTCACAGAGATACACCTGCCTCTGCCTCCCAAGTGCTGGGATTAAAGGCGTGTGCCACCACTGCCCGGCTAGCTGTTTGTTTTACAAATCAATATATTTGATTTCTGAATCCAACTGTCTTCTTCCTTTACTGACAAGATTGGCTTTATAGGATGAACAAGTGGGAACAGAAATCCAGTTGGAAGGGGGAATTTACTACAGGTCTTTTTCTTTCTTCTGAATCTTGTGAGAGGTCTGGTATGAGGCTTCTAAAGGGACAGACTTACTTCCTTTTCAGAAGGGATATGGGTCTGTGGTCAGCAGCTGTCCAGCCTCATTTGCGTGTGATGCCTAGAGCTAGATGAAACTTCCTATCACATTTTTTTCTTAGGTATTAAATCCAGATAAATTTCCATAAAGGCAATAAAGTAGGAAGCTTGGGGCTTTCTCTGAAGATATGGAGATAACACTGGTGACACATACAATAAAAACACTTCCATTAATAGTGACATTAAACTTATATAATGAAATTCTCTAATATGAACTGGTGAGAAGGCACAGACTCCACGGGCCCCGGGGCACTAAGAGGGCCTGATAATATGGCGTGGACTCTGATAGTTGAAGAGAACCAGAAATGTCAGATATTCACAATTTCTACGACCCAGAAGTAGAGAAAAGCACACTTGTGTCAATAAAACTCCAGTCCTGAATCTTCTCTTTCATTTCTAAGATGTAACTAGAGGTGTAATTGGTTACCCATTCGTGTGTGTGGTTTCATCTTACTGGAGGGTCCTGATCTTTAAGGGATGTACCCTGTAAGTGTTCTCCCCAAAGCAATAATGCTGTTTTTGTATGTTGGAGTCTATCTATAAGGCAAGATTTGTTTTTTAAACATCAGTGATTTTTAAAAAATTTTAATTAGATTTATTCTCACTTCATTTTATATGCGAGTGTTTTGCCTGCGTGTATGTAAGTGCACCATGTGATGCTTACACACACAGAAATCAATAGAAGCATAGGCTCCTCGGGAATGGAAATTACAGATGGTCATGAACCAACATGTGGATGCTGGGAATTTAACCAGGATCCTCTCTAAGCAATGAATGCTCCTAACCACTTCTCCGGCACCAAAATTTGTGTGTTTAAAAAAAATTCTTTTCCTGGGGCTAAAGAGATGGCTCAGCAGTTAAAAGCACTGACTGTTGTTCTTCTAGTGGTCTTCAGTTCAATTTCCAGCCACTACATGGAAGCTCACAACTATGTAATGGGATCCAGCGCCCTCTTCTGGCCTGCAGGCATGCGTGCAACAGAACACTATACATAATAAACAAACAAACAAATAAACCTTTTAAAAATTGTTTTCCTTCTGGGTGGTGGTAGTGGTGAGTGCTTTTAAGGCCAGCACTTAAGAGACAGAGGCAGGCGGATCGCTGAGTTTGAGGACAACTTGGTCTACAGAGTGAGTTCCAGGACAGCCAGGACTACACAGAGAAACCCTGTGTCAGAAAACCAAAATAGATGGATGATGATGATTATGATGATGATGATGATGATGATGATGATGATGATGATGAAGAACCGTTGCTAACAGCAGTCCCGTCCTCATTTTCATCCACACTTCCCTCTATTTACAGACGGAACAGTTCAGCCGGCTATGCTTTTCCGGGCCCGTTGCTTAATACTAGGAAATTAATTCGTGACCACAACAGAAAGGAGGAAACTTTTAGGCTCAAGTTCCTCCAGGTCCAATATAAATATGTCTGGAAAACTTGATAATCTTTTAAACAAAACCCTTGAGATGAAAAAAGCAACAAATCGCGATGCAGATTTCTAACCCAGGCGTCACAGCTCACACCTCTAATTCTGAAACTGTGGAAGTCAGGCAAGCGGCATTGCTACTGTTCTAGGCCAACCTTGGGCTACACAGGGGGGCAGCAAGTGCTGCAGGTGGTAGGATTGGAGGAGCTGAGCTGCACGTGGTTGGTGGAGCCCAGATGGCGCCATCAGGAGACCTGGACGGGGCACAGAGCTGCAGCAGTTAGTGTTTGCCTTGCCCTTGCTGGGTTTTAAGCAAACCAAAATATCAATCTTTTGCCATCTTTCCACTCCTCTTTTTTTCCTTTGAAATGGAAATATTTACTTTATGCTAATCTTGGAGTATCTAAGTCCCCCACCACTTGTTTTTTTTTTGTTTGTTTTTTGAAACAGGGTTTCTCTGAGTAAGAGCTCTGGTTGCCCTGGATCTTGCTTTGTAGACCAGGCTGGCCTCAAACTCACTGAGATTCCCTTGTCTCTGCCTCCCAAGTGTTGGGATTAAAGACTGTACCAGTACCACCCAGCTATTTTTTTTTTTTAAACATCCAGGATCACAGTTAAGAGTATGCCTTGAGCTTCAAAGGAGATTTTGGACTTAGACTTCTGAATGTTTGAGCTGTTTAGACTGTGGAAACTGGGTTTGGAGAGATGGCTCCATGTTAAGACCATTTACTGGTCCTCCAGAGGAGCTATATTGTTCCCAGCAACCATCTGCATTCTAAATAGTGACATGGATTTGAAACTTTGTGGGATCTAAGGGCAGACTATTATGGGTTAAAGTGCTAGTTTGGGTGTAAAGTTGACCTGGGATGGACTTATGATTAATCTCCTTTTCAAAAATAACTTATTTAATTTTATTTGATGTGCATTGGTGTGATGGTGTCTGATTCCCTGGAACTGAACTTACTGCAGTTGTGAGCTGCCACGTGCATCCCGGGAACTGAACCCCAGTCTCTGGAGTGCTCTTAAGGGCTGAGTCACCTCTCTAAATCCCCTGATAAATCTTCTTTATCACCTCCTTTGGGTTTGGAATCACACCTCTGGGCGTACCCTTGAGGGAACTTTTAGAGCCGGGAAGGCCCACCCTGAATATGAATGGCCCTCGGACTGAATGACAATGAGAAGAGGAGAAAGTCAGCTGGGCTCTGGTGCTCCTTCTGTTTTTGCTTTGTGACCCATCCAGGTGGGAACAAGTTCTCACCTCCACCACTGCAAAGGTCTACTTCCCGCTGCGATGATCAGCCGTGAGCAAAATTAACCTTTCCTCCCTTACGTCACTAAAATACTTGGTAACAGAGGTGAGAAAAGAAATTATATAGCAAGTGCTAGTAATCATTATGGGTAACAGAAACCCTCATTTGTAGTTGACAGGGGTACAAACAGTGCGGCCACGATGGGGGAGACATTCAGCAGTTTCTCTACAGTACACAGTGGCTACTCTTAGAGGTATTTGACCAGGGCAAGTCAAGAGGTTGCTTAATACAGTGCAGGGAGCATTTCATCTCTCTGGGCATCTTAAAAGCACGGTTCCAGTCAAACTCAAGTCAAACAACATTCTTAATATGCTGCTCCAGTCCTCAAGTGTCAAGGTTATCAAAACCAAGGAAAGTCAGAGAAATTGAGACAGCCAGAGAAGCCTTAAGGATCAATTGAGACTGAATGTGTGGTGCCTTATATAGCATCTTAGAAAAGACAAAGGACAATGGTGATAACTAGAGTGTAAATGAAATAGGTATAGATGAATGTGTCAATATTGTTTCATGAATTATAAATGTACGGTGATGCGAGATTTATTTTCATGTTCGTGTGTGCTTGCATGAGTTCATGGGGAGCACACACAAGCTATGCCCTGGAGGCCAGAAGATGACTGTGAGCCACTATGTGAGCATAGTACCGAAACTGGGTCCTCTGTGAGAGCAGACAGTGCTCTTAACCACTGATCTGTATCTCCAGACTTGCAGGATGTTTTAAGCAGAGAAACTGGAGGCTCTGTGCCTCAACTTTGCAGTTTCTTTAGAAATCTAAAAGCATTCTAAATTTTAATTTATTTTAGGATTTATTTGTGTGTGTGTGTGTGTGTGT